CCACTAGGGCCGACTAGAGCTATTGTCTGACCTGCTGGAATATTCAATGTAAGCCCTTTAAGAACCTGATGACGATGAGTAATGATGAATAAAGCTGCTCCAGAAGTCCAATACTAACCTGAACCTCTGGTCGATGAGGATAAGCAAAGTCTACGTCTTTCAAGAGGAGATTCACATTGGAACCACCATAACGATCATGGTCATCATGAATCTATGCAATGTATACTCACTACAGTCATCACGCCAACCTACCGCAAAAATGCTCTGCTTCCTCCCGTCAGGACACAGTGGATCGCATTTACTGGTCCGATCAAGTAGCTCAAATACATCGTGAGCGGCCGTGCGAGCCTCCTTTATATCTCCTGAAAATGCTAAGGCCTGATGAAAAAGGACAGTGTAACACCGTGATTCACAAGAGCAGCAGCAGCAGCAGCAGGTGCCTAACAAGCTACACCATCCTTCTCGTAGTACTACCTGGCCTATGCCCAAAGCTGATAGGAAGACTCCCATAACGGCTTGTATCATACTATCAAACGGTAAACCCTCTTCTTGGATCAATACCGCACCATACCAAAAACCAAGTGCTAATGCACAGAATATCATAGCACTGGACAGCCCATAGAAAAAGCCCGACAGGAGAGCTCGCCTGCTCTGCTTACTAGCCGACTTCATAATCAACATCGCGAACCTGAGCATCGTCATAATGGAAACGATCCTCAGCTTAGTAAGAATACAATCGTACAGATCTCGAGTTCGAACCTCGGCAGTGAGAGCTCTCACTGTTCGGAGATTTTGAACAGCCTCTGAGGCTATTTGATTAGCCTGGCCTGATAGATCATCATCCGCCTTGCCAACCCCGTCACCAAAACTCGTCATTGTATCCACTGCACCTACCAAGGAGGTATCGAGTTCGAATCCCACATCAGACATTTCTTACCAGCTCCAGCTAATAAGGGGAGAGTTGCCAACATAACAGCAGCTAGCTTAGGTGATGCTGTAAAGGATACTATTATGCCGGCAATCGCAGTAGCAGTGAGCTGAGCGAATATACCTGTGTTGGCTGCTGCTGAGCATAATCACGATGTAGATGTGGTAACTAGTCTTACCTAGTTGAGTGCCAGTAAGGACATTTAACTTTAGTGCATAGTTGCCAAGAGTAGCAGTTAGACGTCCAGGTGCATGAGAGGGTTCATCAAAGTAAGCAATCTCCTGAAGATAATAATCATAATTAGCAAGGATATAGTAGCAGTAGTAGTAGATGTTATCTCCTCCTCATCCTATTCACCTGTCGTAACATTTTGGTATAACATACTGTTCTAACTCTTTTGGTAAGATGCTCACCGATGTAGGCAAAAGCCCAGAACTGTCCAATATTACCGATTGTAACACCTATGGCTATACCAACAAACCTGGAGGAAAAGGGAATAATAACAACAACGTCTTCCGAT